GCGGGCGCCCCCCAGGGCTGCAGCTGCTCAGCAGGTAATTGATCCCTCCGTCGCCCAATGGCACCCCCTGGTATCTCCAGACCCCTGCCTCCGAGTCTCCCCCTCAGACGCTCTTGTTCCTCAACTTCGTGGGAGAGGAGGCATTTCCACGCTCGCTCGAGACGCGTCTCTTGCCTCCTTCCTCTCTCTCCTTAGGCAAGCTGCGGTTAACCAGCCTTCCAGCGAATGGGCAGGTAGCTAAGGCGGTCGGCTACCCAATGGCACCCCCTGGTATCTCCAGACCCCTGCCTCCGAGTCTCCCCCTCAGACGCTCTTGTTCCTCAACTTCGTGGGAGAGGAGGCATTTCCACGCTCGCTCGAGACGCGTCTCTTGCCTCCTTCCTCTCTCTCCTTAGGCAAGCTGCGGTTAACCAGCCTTCCAGCGAATGGGCAGGTAGCTAAGGCGGTCGGCTACTGACTGCCCCCATCCGGTCAGACATACGTGAGGGGTGGGATTTGTGAACCCACGCTAAGAGAAGATCAAGCCGCCCTTGCGATCTGGTAGATACCAGTGCAAGCTGTGCCCGAGTCTGTGTACACAAATACTTTCCCTTTGGCAGCTGACTTTTGGGGCAGTCCATGAAGGATAAACACGTGGCCATCTTACCAAAGCATCCAGAGTCGTTGGTCCCCTGCTGCAGAAAGAGGATAGTTCATGCCAAGCCATTCAGCCCTACTAGTGTATTCCACCATCTCTTTCATCACGATTGTCCACCTGGGGGCAGGGTGTGTCTCTTGCAGTGATCGTACCACTCCTAGCTCAACGGGGATTTGGTTATAACCCCTGCTACTACCGTAATAATATTACCGTAGAGGACTTTTAATCAGCAGAGCTCAAAGTGCTCTACAAAGCAGAATCGATATCCCAATTTTACAGATGGGGAACTGAGGCACAGGCAGGAATGTGATTTGCCCAAGGTCATCCAGTCCCAGCAGACGAGAAGCAAAGCAAGGAATAGAACTCAGATCTCCTGAGCCCCAGTCCAGTGCTGTATATAGTAGGTACTAATAAAATGAATGAAGCCCCCCACAGTACGGTTTCAAAGCTCTCTGAATTAGCTACACCACTTGAAACGTTTTGCAGCATGCTCTCTTCTATTTTCAAGATGAGAAGGATTACAGAGCCCCTTGACTTGTCAAAAATACTCCATTTTGGAGGGTTGAAATGAAGATAAAAATTACTGGATTTCACTCCAAAAGTAAAAGAGATAAGAAGAAGATAACTTTCTGGTACACATGTACAGAAAAGTGGGGATGGTTGCAGTGGCTGCTCACTGAGAGGGTGGGTGCTGCTGTAGTTAGAGTACAGAACACAGACATCTCTGTGCAGGTCTCTCACCTTGTTGAGCTTCAGTTCCCCTATCTATAAAATGAGCACAATTTCTGTTCCACCCCATATCTATATCTCCATCTTTCTTGAGTGGGGTTATTCTTTATTGTGTCTTTTGGTGAAAAGAGCTATTTTGCAGCCATCATTGCTGGGCAGGGCTTGTATAACTTCTTAAAAGTGACACACATTGCTTTCATCCTGGTCTGCATTTCTAAAGAGGGTCTCCTACCAAGTCTTGTCCTTAGGTTTTATATATATATAAAATCTCTCAGTGTATTTCTGATACATCCAATGACTTTGATATGCAGACCAATAAAGCTAGGCTCTGAGCTTCATTAATAGCAGCATCCAGTTGACCACAGTTGGTGGGAAATGGAAAACCAGATGGTTTGAAGGATAGCTAGGCCCAACCCCATTCAGGCCTTGAAAGATTAGGAAGAAAACCTTTTTCTGGATCCAGAATCTGATAATAAGGGCAGAGTGGCATGCCCTGGTTGCTCTCTTTTAGCTAGGACTTTAGTTGCATGTTTAGAAGATTAATATATAAAGATAGAAAGTGGAATTGTATATATGGAAGTCACATATACAGCGAGCTGTGTCCCTACAGTAACAACTGAACCTGGAGGGAGGAAGCCAGAGAGCACAGGCGGCTTTTGTTGTGTCTGGAGCTTTATGTGTGTGTCCTGGAAGAGAAAGGCAGAAAGGAGAGAACGTAGGAAGAACAATTTTTTAAATAAGGTGCTAACGTGTAACCAGACTGCACAAAATCCAAACTCTCCATACACCATGCGCGGAGCGCTTTTTTGGCACACATTTTCTTTTCTCCGCGACGTAGTCAATGCCTGCGTGCTACCGCGCACGAGCCAATCATGTATTCAAGGGCTTCTATTTGCCAGCATGTTCTCTGATCACACTGCGCTTCTGTCCACAGGCAGAGCGCGATATCAGTTACACAAGAAAGTGTGTTTTCTTCTGCCCATCGGGGCGGCGGGAAGGAGGGAGGGGGAAACGAGTAAAGCGATCCGTAGGAAGGCAAGTGTCTGGGTGTGAACAGTCACCTGCCCAGGCGCTCCGTGTCTGGGACCTGGAGGTGAAATGCTGTTGTCGCACAAGTGCTCAGGTTAATTTTTACCGACTCTGGAGGAATGCCCAGGCTGGACTACTATGGTTGGCTCATGTTGCTATCCAATGAGAATGGAGTGAGCGCCCTATATGGGGACGCCGGGGCTGGCAGGCTGCAGCACAACTTCTGTCAGCGGGGTTGGCCGTATCCGAAGGTCTATCCAAAGCCTATCAGGTGGTTAACGGATCAGAGATCGCTCTTGTCCTTAGTTACTAGGTCACCTGCCCCATTTACCTTTCTACCGGGGGAGACGCTAATTGCCTCTCATCCGCTATTCCATTGACCATGGCAGTACAAACTTGCCCTTTCCAGTGCCCAGCTTGGGGACTAGAGTTCCAGGTATGTGTGCGTGTCTTTCCCCGTGTGCGTGTGTGTGTACTGTGGGAGCAGGTCTGATGGACGAACCTGAATGCACGGATTAACTCGCATGTTTCCTTTACGTATTTCAGAGCCCCTGCTTGCAAACTGAACCCGAGTTCGACTTCCAGGAGTTCAGAGATGCTGTCGATAGTTTTATATGTGGCAAGTACTTTTCTTGTTGATTATTAACACTTTTATTTACACAGAGCACCGGTTGCCTTTGGTCGCTTACCTTCATTCATTGCAATTGGTCCCCTGACAGGCTTCCATCTTGTTGGGTACCAGTTTAATTTGCTATCAGTTTACTCACTAGACATTACAAAACTGAACGCACCAATCCGGCATTCATTGAGAAAAAAATTGCACTGACAAAACTCCCAAGGAGATGCAAACGAAATGTGTGTGTTTGGTGTATCCCAACGCTGACTACTTTAGTAGTGCGTCCAGTTTTACAATATTGAATTACCCCCCGCTGAGATATTTCTAATTCTCTGCAGCAGCACCAAGAACTTGGCGAACGCGTAGTGATACGACCTCTCACTCCTGTGATTTCCTCTATAGACCCATCTTCCTTAATGCCTCCTCCCCTGAACGCCGCGGATTTCACTTTCCCGCTCGGCGACGCATCAGCCTTTAGCCCTTGCATTCCACGGTCACAGAACGACCCTCTTCCGCAGATGAACTTGCCAAACTCTGCGGAACAGTACTGGAAAGATGTGGCCGACCAAAACCAGAAAGCGCTAGGAGATGCACTGGTGGAAAACAATCAGGTAGGATGGAAAGTAGAATGAATGCCCCAAAACTCCTCCTGATCAGGTATTCGGCGATTAATCAGAGGAAGTTTTCTTCGTTGTATATTCCGTCCAAACTCACTGATCCTAGCTGGAGAGCTAAGTGGCACACACACCGGGCACCACTTGCTAGTTTTGTTCGGCTAAGTCGTCTGGTTACTTATCATCAGTACGGTTTGCAAAGGTAAAGGGGCTAATTCGGTTTGTGTGCACACTACGGCGCCTCACGGTGACGTTCCATGGGAGAGGAAAGGTTTGATTTCAAACTGACACTTGTCATTCAACAGCTGCACGTGAAATTAACCCAAAAGCAGGAGGAGATCACGTCCCTGAAGGAAAGAAACGTGCAGTTGAAGGAGCTAGCCAGCCAGGCGAAGCAGCTGGCCTGTGTGCTCGATGTAAGTGCTCCGATTTCCTCCACCTTTATTTTCCAAAGCGTTACTCACCACCCCCGGGGACTGGGGCAGACAGGGGCGGGCGCGATGAACGGATGCAAGGCCGAAGAGCGATTCCTTTCACCACGCGAGGCTTGCAGCTGTCAGACCCCCAGGGGGCGCCCGTGGGCCAAAAAGCTAAACTCCCCCGCAGCAGGCAGACACTGGTGTATTGCAACTCCCCCGGCCACTCGATGCCCACAGTGGGAGCCACGGCGCTCGGTTTAAGGCAGCCAGTTGCATTTTATTTCACCTACAGAAATTGATGATCCATCAGTCCAAGGAGGGGGCCGACGCTCTGCTCCCCAGGAGCTGGGCTAAGCGGAGCCTGGAGCAGCTCTCCGCGGCCAGGCAGGAGGACTGCGCAGCTGTGGATGGGATCCTGCGGGAACTATCCGACACCTGTCTCGCTGCTCTGCAGACCATTGGCGAGAGCAGAGAGGCGAAGCGCCCCAGGCTGCAGGCGGAGCCCGCAGGAGCCCGGGGCAGCAAGGCCGGCAACATGCACGGAGAGTTCAGCGGGCTGCAGACTTGCAGCAGCCGTAGGTCGGTGGATCTGAGTAACAGCGAGCTGGAGGAAGGAGTGTCTTTCCGGACCTCCATCACAGAACACGGCACAATCCGGACACTGGCGTTCCCCCAAGGAAACGCTTTCACTATCAGGACAGCCGCCGGGGGCTACAAGTTTAGATGGGTTCCCAGCTGAGCCAGGAAACGATCAGCTAACTACACTGGCCAAGGTCTCCAATGCAAACTTTGCACTGCCTGCACTTGAAATTAGCCTTGTTCCACCTACCTAGTCCTCCAAGGTGATTTCCATTTATATGGGACAGTTGTCTGTTGCAGAGACTGGAAGCGATTTTTTTAAAGAAAAAGTTGCATTTACCAGAACATAAGAACATAAGAATGGCCGTACTGGGTCAGACCAAAGGTCCATCCATCTAGCCCAGTAGCCTGTCTGCCGACAGTGGCCAACACCAGGTGCCCCAGAGAGGGTGGACTGAAGACAATGATCAGTGATTTGTCTCCTGCCATCCCTCTCCAGCCTCTGACAAACAGAGGCCAGGAACACCACTTCTATCCCCTGGCTAATAGCCTTTTATGGACCTAACCTCCATGAAATTATCTAGCTTCTCTTTAAACTCTATTATAGTCCTAGCCTTCACAGCCTCCTCTGGCAAGGAGTTCCACAGGTTGACTACACGCTGTGTGAAGAAGAACTTTCTTTTATTAATTTTAAACCTGCTACCCATTTACTGATACAAATCTTTCCAGCCTGTTTAGGGCATGGGCAAAAACCCATTGAAGTCAATGGAAAGATTCCTACTTCCGGCCCTCGGATCAGACCCTATGTATTCTGCAGGGTATTTTGCACAGTGTCTTTCTTAAAGAGTACAGGACGTTGGTAGCCTGGAGAAGTGGGCGGAGCACACAGGAGTGGAAAGACTGAAGCAACCGTACTGGGTTTCCAACAATGCCGCGAGTGGTGGAGTGCGCCCCCTGGAGGTGGCTGAAGGAAGGGAGGGAGTCCCGGAAACTGGTTCTGGTGGTGGTCTTTGTGGCGCTGCTGCTGGACAATATGCTGCTCACAGTGGTGGGTACGTGCAGTCTGGGCGCGGGCGTAGAGGTCAAGGTGTCCTCCGCGACGCGCTGATGGCGTTAAGACTCGGTGCGTCCCCGCGGCAACTGCAGAAACCGGTCACAAGAGAAATGAGTGTGATTGGGCTCCCTGCCAGGCAGCGCTGCAGGTCTGGAGCAAGGTTTGCTGGGAGAGTTGGGTGTAGGCAGTTTGCCCCGGCGCCTATATCCGGCTTGAACTCTTGGCCTTTCATTAATTTCCTTTGCACTCAGAAGAAGTGCTGAACAAAACCCTAAGAGCATAGGAATGGCCAGTCTGGGTCAGACCAAAGGTCCATCCAGTCCAATGTGCTGTCTGCTGACAGTGGCCAGCGCCAGATGCCCCAGAGAGAATGAACAGAACAGGGAACCATCCAATGATCCCTCCCCTGTCACCCATTCCCTGCCTCTGACAGAGGCTAGGGACACCATTCCTACCCAGCCTAATCGCCATCAGCGGACCTAACCTCCATGAATTTATCCAACTCTTTTTTGAACCCTGTTCAAGTCCTAGCCTTCACAACATCCTCTGGCAAGGAGTTCCACAGGTTCACTGTGTGTTGCCTGAAGAAATACTTCCTTTTGTTTGTTTAAAACCTCCGACCTATTAATTTCAAGTGATGACCCCCTAGTTCTTGTGTCGTGGGAACAAGTAAATAACTTTTCCTTATTCACTTTCTCCACACCCGTCATGATTTTAGAGACCTCCATCATATCCCCCCACTTAGTTTTCTCTTTTCTAAGCTGTAAAGTCCCAGTCTTTTTAATCTCTCTTCCTATGGCAGCCGCCCCAAACCTCTCATCATTTTTGTTGCCTTTCCCTCTACATTTCCCAATCCCTCTCTAACTAATCTCCTCCTTTAACGTTCTTCCAGTGCCAATCGTCCCCACTTTCCTATATGCCACAGAATACAAAGGGGCTAACAGCTCTGCTTCCCAGAACTGGATCCTGGCAGCACTTGGATGAATGCCATCCAGTCCCGGAGATTTGTTAACATTAAGTTTTTCTATTTGTTCCAAAACCTCCTCTAATGACACTTCAATCTGGGACAGTTCCTCAGATTCATCACCCACAAAGGACAGTGCAGATTTGGGAATCTCCCAATGTCCTCAGCCGGAAGAAAGTTGTGGAGTGTTTTTTTTCTTTTAAGCCATTGTTGTTTAAAATAAATAAAAGGAAGTTTTTCTTCACTCAGTTCACAGTCAGCCTCTGGAACTCCTTGCCAGAGGATGCGGTGAAAGCTAGAACTTTAACTTTGTTCAAATAAGAGTTAGATTAATGGAGGTTAGGTCCATCGATGGCTATTAGCCAGGATGGGTAAGAATGGTGTCCTTAACCTCTGTTTCTCTGGAGGTGGGTGACAGGGGAGGGATCACGTGAGGATTACCTATTGTGATTCCTCCCTCTGGGGCATCTGGTACTGGTCACTGTCAGCGGACCTTTGGTCTGACTCAGTATGGTCATTCTTATCATCCCTCTCCCCCCTGCCCCACACACACTTTTGAGCAAGTGCAGAGAGATACTCTGGATAAATTATAGGGACACTCTCAATCTGGATTTAAAAATACCTCTGTAAACTGTATGCGCCTTGAAACTTTAAAAAACGTAATTCAAATGTGAAAAAGATGTTCTCTGCTCCTTTACTGATCTTTACGAGGATCTATTCAGCAACTAAGTACAGAGGAAATCTGACTATATACACAGTCAAATACACACCCCAAACAAACTGAATATAAAAAGACATTTGCCTCAGCAACTCCTTTCCATTATAGCGATCGTAGGTATTGTAACTAGAGCAAGTAGAACATTTTTTCAGATGGAAATGTGACTTTGTTAGTGTTCCTTCAATGACATAATTATTTATTATTGGAAATATTGCTGTTGCTGAGGTATCTTTGAAAGAAATTTATTGCCTAGTTTCGGTCACTGAAATTTGAATGCAAAATTATAACATAGTGATTATGCATAATAGCAACTTTGGAAATGCACACACTGTTTGAAGTATATTAAGCATACAGCATTCTATACTTTATTACTACTGGAGTTTTAAATCCAAGAAGTTTACAAGATCACATTTTAGACTCTGACGTGTACACAATTTTAAATATGTTTTTACACCTACTGTGAGCACTAAATGATTATGTACATAAAACTACAATGGCTTTTTAAAATTTCAAGTAAACATTGTTTTGCATCAGTCATGTTCCTTTACTTTGGTTTGTGCAAAAATAATCTTATGTTTATTAACAGTAGAAGAAATACATCTTTCTTATTGGAAGACCTGTTCTGACAAAACAGGCAGCTTTAAAAAAAAGACACACAACCTGTGGTCATCCAGTAGAATTATTTTTGGTAAAGATAAGTGCAAATAGCAATTTCAAAGGTTGAATGGATATATTTAAATTGGAGCTACCTATTCAAAATTGAGTGTTTAGCTTGTGGCCCAAACCCTTAACACTGTAATCAATACATCATAGAAGAATTTTCCATTTCTATGGTACATAAGACAATAAAGTCAACAGAATTGATCCCTGCCCAGCATTGCTTAGGTGAGGTTTTAAAGGCAGGAAGTCAGGAACTTCCCAGTTAAGGTTACAATATCAGTCTCTTGTTGCATATGGCCATGCACATTGAGGGAACGCTATAATTATATAGCATGAAGGTGTGCCTAAAGGCAGTATACTAAGTACAGTTTCCTGTGAGCAATGCTTCATCTGATCTGAGTGGGCAGGCTCCTTGGTAAAGTTGCCATACATCCAGGAAGTAGCTTCATATTTTTCATTTTATTTTTGTTTGAGCAAAAGACTATCTTGTTCAACTTTTCCTGTTTATTCTCAGGAGGTATCTTCAGAAATTTGGACACTGTATTTGGCAGTTTCCTTTTCAGATGGAGCATCAATAGCATCAAGCAGGACTATTTTTTTTCTTGCATGAATGTTTGTAGCCATTAATGGGTCTTTTCTCACATTCAATCAAACTTTTTGCATTAGCATCAATGTGGACTTTTCTGTTTTTTTCCTTTAAAATTGCCCTTTTATTCATCTGGAACATCTAGTAGTGGAACTGTGAATTTAAATCTGCCCGGAATCATAGAATACTAGAACTGGAAGGAACCGTGAGTGGCCACCAAGCCCAGTGCCTTGCCCTCAGAGCAGGACCGAGCACCATCCAGATAATCCCTGATAGATGTCTATCTAATCTGTTCTTGATGGAGATTCCACAACTTCCTTAGGCAACTTATTCCAGTGTTTAACCACCCTGACAGAAAGTTTTTCCTAATGTCCAACCTAAACCTCCCTTGCTGAAGTTCAAGCCCATTGCTTCTTGTCCTATCATCAGAGGTCAAGGAGAACAATTTTTTCCCCACCTCCTTGTAGCACCCTTTTAGGTACTTGAAAACTGCTATCATGCCCTCCTCCCCGTCTTCTGTTTTCCAAACTAAACAAACCCCAGTTCTTTCAATCTTCCCTCATAGGTCATGCTTTCTAGACCTTTAATCATTTGTGTTGCTCTTCTCTGGACTCTCTCCAATTTCTCCACATCTGTCTTAAAATGTGGTGCCCAAAACTGTACACAATACTTCAACTGAGGCCTAATTAGTGCAGAGTAGAGCAGAAGAATTACTTCTCATGTTTTTTCACAATACTCCTATTAACCAGATCTTACCCCAAAATCACACTGACGGTCAATCCTTTAGTATCTAAAATCTAAAGGTTTATTTGAAGAAAGAAAGAAAGAAAGAAAGAAAGAAAGAAAGAAAGAACTGCACTTGTGAAAGGAATCAAATACATACATCAACTGCAAAGTTATTGTTTCAGGCTTGTAGCAGAGAGGAAATAAACTGCTGGCTTAAGTCATATTGAGAATATTTGCATCTTGGATGGGTCATTTGGTCCTTTCCTTAGAGCTTCAGTTTGTAAGTGGTAAAAAGCAGGATTAAAGACAAAAGGAAGGATTTCCAGGGCCTTTTATATCTTCTGCCATGTGGAATAAATCCCATTGTTCTTGCTGTGGAAAAGCACATCAACAAGATGGTGTTTGGAATCACATGAGCAAGTCACCTATCTGTCCATGCAAGACTCAGTACTTTGAAGGTAGAAGCCATTGCTCCCATGCTACTGTGAACATTCACAGGAAAGCTCATTAGATGTGAATTGACCCCATGCAAGGCCCATGGTCAGTCAAGGACTTTTATTCACCTTGAATAGTCTTTTCACAACAGTCTCGCCAAGTCTCCTATTAGCATCTTCCAGAAGCAAACATTTGAAATGCAAGTATAT